CTTAGTTTTCCCTCTTGTCCCTCGATTGTAACTATTGCTAATTTTCCCTCAGAGTCGACGTGCGTGTCTGTTATGTTGAACTTGTTTGATGTGTTAAAAATTGTTAACCCGCTTCCCGTGATTAGTGAGCTGTAGCTGTGGTGCGCTTGAGTTAACCCTAAGTTGTGAGTGAATTTGTCTGCTGTGTATTTATTTTTGAAATTTGTTTCTTGTAATAAAATGAAGTCAGGTTTATGTTTGTCGATTAATTGTCTTAAATACTTGTCTTTGTATCTTGTACTTTGTATGTTGAGGGTTATAATTGTGAGGTTACTTGCACTGCCTTTAAAACCTGGTCCGCCTTAGTCTGTTTTGGGATTAGTGGAGGGGGTGTGAAAGTTTTCCTTTTTGTTGTGGTCCTGTCTTTTGCGGTTGGGCGTGTTGGGGTTGGCCGTGTAGGGCTCTGTATGGTGTCGGTTTCAATGATGTGTTCGTTTTCTTTGCTTCGTAAACTATCTTTCTTTTTTTTCCGTGAAAGCTTATTTCTTTTTCCCTGAACTTTTGTCCATTCACCTTCTGTGGTAGGGGCTGTAGTTGTAGCTGGTTCTTGGGCTGGTTCAATTTCAGCGGCGTCGTCAGACACATCTTCGCTGTCGTCAATAAGTAGATCATTGTCGTAATAATTTCCATCGTTGTCTATATATATATTGTCTCTCTCCCTTACATAGGGGCTTCGGCAGGCGGCCGGTCCATGTTTGGTCGTGCCACAAAGGGGGCATATCGATCTCCTGCCGTTTAGTTGTAATAGCAGGGTGTAAGTTTCTCCTCCAATTTCTAAATCAATATAGTGGGGTAGGTCCTTTAGGGGAGCGTTTGGGCAAAAATCGACTGCCCACTTGTCGCTTTTGCCAATTTTTAAAGTTGACACGATTGTATCTGGCTCAGATATTTCAATCATAATTTTGTTGATCATATTCTGAGTAATGGTAGGGGGTACCCATTTCAGGTGACCCCTCTGACCATTTTTATCAACATGTAACAGCAACATGCTGCTACAATAATCTGAGTGTTCGCATATTACTACCAGATGTAGAGAGTTATAGATTTCATCAGATTTCAGTGAGATATACCATTCGCTTGGTTTACCTAAGTTGTAGACATTAATAATTTGTGAACGGTTAATGTTCAATTCACAAGTAAACAAGTCTTCTAAGATAAATTCATCGAGTCGACGTTCTTTTTTTCCTTTAATCAACACACGTAGCGTGTTTTTGGGATGCCGCCCAGGTGCGGACCCCGTAAGCGTAATTTTTTTGAAGAGTGTACTTACAGGTACAGGGACAGTTCTCTCCTTTTGTAACACATCTCCGATTTTTCTTCCACTTTCAAGAACATTTACAGTTTCATTTGGATATGTATCCGTTACGGGTGTTGACACAGGCCAGCCGGTAGTTTGCGAGGTGTCCGTGTTATCTACAGGACAGAGCGAAGGCCAGCTAAGGTTTTTTGAAAGTCGTGTCTGTCTGGTTTCGGCCATCTTGTTTTTTGTGAAGTGCATTGGTCTGTTTTGAAAATCTGTTTTCATTTATGTTTAATACATCTAATCATTAAGTCGGTCAAAAGTATATCAATCATGAAGCTTTGTTAAAGTAATGGTGTCTCGTGTTATGTTTATTTTTATGTTTTTTTTTGTATTTATATTATTAATTTTAACTACGTTTCATTTTTATACTATACCATTTTTTAGTACTTATTTTTTTAAAAATAATGATTAAGACCAGTAATTGCTGTTTAATTTGATTATTAAAAATCTATTAAAAAGAGCTTTTGAGCAACCCTATTTGACTATTTGAAAAAGGGAAATAATTTATGGAAGTGGTTTGAGCGTTTGCCTATCTTTCACACTACAGCTATGTGTATATTTAAAAAAAAAAATTGTTTACGCAACCACATGTCTTAGCTACTATATAACATCACTACTGTGTTTAGCTACTATATAACATCACTACTGTATTATATCTGTTATCTGTTTGTTATTTACAAAACCACTATCAAGGTGCCAGTGACGAAACTAATATATATATATGTATATATATATATATATATATATATATATATATATATATATATATATATATATAACACGCTATCATTCGTGTATTTATTTGAGACGTTTGTCTTGTTTTCTAGAACAGTGGTTATTAAACGTAAACAATGTCGGCACTTTATTTCTTGGATATTAGTTGTTTGTCTACACTACCACCGATACGAGCCAGCTTAGTTGTTGAGGCGCTATCTATTCGCTTCTTGTAAGGCTATGAGCGGGAGGGGAGGTCTGAGAAAGGAACTTAAAAGGGACAACAAAGCACCGATGTACTTTTATCCATCAGTACCAAATTTGGGATGGTCTCAAAAAGCCGTCTTAATATCTAGCGGCCTCTCGCGCATTTGATGTTTTTTTCAAAAGAATTTGTGTGTTTGATTGTAGGAAAAAGAATATACAAGAGCGTGGGATGGTGTCTATAGAATAAAGATACTCCAACCGCAGCTACAGTATTCTTTTTTTCAAAACAAACATCAGGTCAAAAATGCAAGAAAATTAATTTTAAGTATAAAAAAAAATTATTATGTGCGGCTGTGGGCCCCCTAAACGGCGTGGCCCCCCCCCCCCGCATTGCGGGGTCTGGCGGCACTGTAGTTCCGCCCCTGATAATAATTAAAACTTACTTGGTCTCTTTTGTTTAGGATAGATATGTTAGTTCCTAGCAATTTATTTACTAAAACCTCGATACCATTAGCTTTTAAGTGTCTGAATAGTTCAGCTCTTATGCTTTTATTATCAAATTCCTCATTGATTTTATGTGTGCTTCATATTGTACTTGCTCTTTTCTTCCAGCTTTTTCATACTTTTGTTTTAAATCTCAGCAAATTTTTGGGCTTAATTTTTTATATTCTCATGTGTAAGGTTAATAAATCCATTTTTAAATCCATCATAGTTTTAGATAGAAAAACACTGGATATCCAGTGGTACATTTTCTACTCGAGCGCTTAACTTCTAGAACAGGTAAACTTGAAAGATCTAGACCAGGAATCTATCGCCTTGTGTTGTTTACATTTAGGCTGTGCCACAAATATTTCTCCAGTAGCCTCCCTTTGTCTGTACGTTTGACGCCGTATAGAACCTTCGTATCCCATTTTATCCAGTCACGCTCCCCCTACCGTGACAGCCTGCAAATGTCTTTGATGGCAGCAATACTCTGGGAACACACACATACACACGCCTTCAGAATACAAGCCAATCTATCATTTCTAACACACGAGCATTACCGTTTTAAGCTCATTATACACCATCTAACCTTGTAAAGGGAATTCTGAAAAGTTATAAAGCACTATGCTAAAATCAACTTTTAGCTAGGACCAGAGATAAAAAAAATAAAGCTAATACTCGAGCTAATACCAAAAATAACATTAAGGTAAAATCATGTCCGCAGTGGTCTGGTGTCGGAAGGTCTGACCTGTATTGAAAACATTCACGTTAGAGGAACTGACAAGCTTACAGGATTTACAGACCACATCAGTAGTTGTATCTTGTATGACAAAATGCTGATAGAAATGGACACATTAAGTTAATAAAGTTATTGATTTATCCTAGGATCACAAATTAATAACAGTACAATTATACAGTGTTAACATGTTTCTGTAATCTCGACATGAGTAGTAAAAACTTGGTCAATGTGTACGTTCCATAACGTGAGTAAAGTACCATCGTAGCTGTGTGGACATTTAGGCACTACAATTAGCCTTGGTCCTTATTGCCTTTATTACATTAAAAAATAACGACAGTTATTATATGTTTGATAATTCCGAAGATTTTATTATGTGTTCAAAAAATAAACGAAAAAAACAAAACAAATGAAATAACACATTAACCATAAGTTGTATAAACGAATGTATTTGTAAATATATAAACCAAACAATTCCTTAAACTACACAAAGGGAGGCTTGATATAAAAATTAAGTGGACGTTATAATAAAGATATATATGCATGCATATAATTGCTTTCCATTAATTGTGTCCATGTAAACATACTAAACAAATACAATTATAAAATTAGGTAATTGGAAATTTCTCTAGCCTATGGTATGGAACACAAACGACACTAAATTGTTCACGGGAGATAACAATTAAAATTACCCACTTGATTTGTGAGAGTATGGTTATATACCTTGAAAACGATAATAAAAGAATATTCCAATCTCAGTAATACAAACATATTCAGAATTAATTTTTTATTTTGTACTAATATGTACTTATATGTGACTGTAGAGATTTCTTAATAAACAAACATGCTCGATATGAGATACACTAGATAAAATATTAACTACTTAAACATAGGATTTACTTAAATAATCTATTTTTATTCTACTATATGACCGCATAATGTTTACATTTATAATACAAAGCTTTACAGATCCCAAATTAACAGTTACTATCTACTTTCTGTGATTTTGGATGGCATATATATCTTTCGAAAAACCATGCGAAAAAATATTATTGAAAACATTGCGCAAACGTTAGACACGTTATTAGAGTTGAACTTCACACGATCCGAGTGAATGTCCAATTAAAGATATAGTGGTAGATGACAACTACACTACTAGTCTAGTTATGAATATGTCAGTTTTTTTTCCTGTTTTAATGGCTAACACACACACACACAGTCAATCTATGAGGAACTTCAATTCTAGATGAATGTATACTTGGCTTTATTACATCATAATAGCAAAACAAACACTGTTGTAGTTTTTAAAATCTTTTTTTTTTTAATAAAACGTTTGGTTTAATGTTCGTTAATTTTAAACTTCTTATGTATACTCACCATCAAGAAAATATTGCCTTAGTTTAATGTTTACATCTATTTATTTTGATATATGTAATGATGCTTATGTTCCTGAAGATTATATAAATAATTTGATTACTGTATATCCATTATTTTACCATAGCATTGTTTTCGGGTTGTTTACATTTGACGAAGTTTCATCTCAACAAAGTCTAGAGAGTTAGTCCCGCCTGTAATGCTAGCCCAATGAATTCCTTTATCATAAACACGACTCGCCCATTCACCGTTGACGTTAACCTGGTGACATTCCTCATACCACCACCCACCTCTACCGTCTACAGCACAGTTGCCATCTAGCCACTCATCGTTATCAGAGTCAATGGTTGTAAACTTATAGCCGTTGTGATAACTTAACCTGTCAACAACATCCCCACCACTGAATGACGTTAAGGTCATCTTATACTTTGCTGCTTCATTTTCTACCTTAAAACCTCTGTACATAGCGAAGTAGTCTTTACCTTTATACTTCATGTCAAATCTGAGTTCATTATAACCCTGTGTTAGACAAAAAATTAGAAATATTTAGATACTGCATTGTGTTTGAAATATTGTAAGTATTGATCTGCTAATATTATATGATAATTATACATATTGATAAAAAAACGTAACGAAAATCTATAAACAATATACACAATTTTCCAAAACACATTATTACAATAATACACACACTTCTTGAAAACTTTCTTTGTAAAAAGAAAAAATTGAATAAACTTATTTTGATAGTTCCTGTATCTACCCCATCATTAAAACAAAAGACGTCTGTTGAGAAAGAAAATATTACATTATCTATTGCCTGATTACATTGCAAATAAAAAATATATTCCCTTACAAGAAATACTATTTATATTCAATTTACGTATGGCTTTTCTAGAACTCCCTCCTTTTCATTAATCTCCTTACATTGCCTGCCGTTGTAACACGCTCGCAGTTAGTAAACCCATCTCCCTTACAACATATATCACTTATGTACTTTTCCTTCTTTTGATAAGCTCAATGTGACGGTAAAACCGTTAGGCTAGCTCCGTTTTATTCTTCCACCACCCGCCACCCTCTACCTGCTCTATTACTCCCCGCCCCTCTCTACTGCTACGTACATCCATATATTTCGTCCCCCTCACAGGCCCCTCTCTAGTTAGCTAGATTGTCCACGTGACACCGCCAATGTTTTAATGAATATAAGGGGATGCAACAAAGACATCTCGCACTCTTCCAGCACTGAGCTCAGCTGGTGGTGTCGCACGCGGCGTTGGGGCCGTCGGCCCGACCTCCACGTGTTTTCTCTGGGTTAGGTTTTACTAATTATTTCTTACTTTTACTTAACTTTACTTTTTATATGCATATTTGATTAACAGTGTAACAAGGAGTTTTAATAAACACCATATATAAATATTATCTTGCTGTCATGTATTTTTACATTGTTACTTTACATTGTTACTTTACATTGTGACAGTCGATAACTTACCTGAATTACTTAACTTAACTTTACACTGCCCGTGCCTTAGCACACAGGGCATTTAAATACTTATTTGATGTAAACTATTCCTGCCTGTGACGTAATTCCACGTGGCAGTTGAGTAGATATTTCAGTTACCTTTTTTACTACTTTTATCCTGCACGTGTATCAGCCACGGAGCAGTAGATATAATATTATATACTGCATCATTCTATTTTACTACAGGCCGTAAACTGCGGGCATTGAGTTGACCCGTAGTCATCGGACCTGATATTTTATTCACCGGCCGTAAACCCTTGCCGGTAAACTCTGGGCATTGAATTGACCCTTAGTCATCAGACCTTATTAATATTACCTCTAGTAAAACTATACTAGAATCTATATTCCCGGTAAAGAAGCGGCACAGACCCTCTTACCGGTTGAATACCAGCATTTTACAGATTATCCCAGTTAGTACGCTACCAATATTACTACATTTTATCCTTATTACCGTTAACACTCAATAGCCCTAATTCTAAATCTTACAACGTATCTTATTTGTATCTCTATATGTATGTAGTGTAATCGGGTTAATATAATTAAGATGAGGACAGGCGCGAGGGTGTGGAATAGAACTGTTGATAAAACCGGTAGAGGAAGAAATGACCGGCGGAAAATATCCTGCTGACTGCATTACACTATTCTTCAAGGTTCGTTACATAACCACGATCTTTATTATATAAGCTGTGTTACCGTTCCTAAAATATCTAACTAATCTGTAAATCGTTTATCTAATAAACACTTCTGAAATCAACGGATCAAGACACTTAGCTTTTTTCCCAATAAAAATAAAAACACGCTATGTTAATTTATTCATCTATTAACATACTGCATGTGCAGTAAATGCACCTTCGTCATATAAAGTGAAGATGTATAGTATCTGTTTCGTTAGTTAGCTATTGTTTTGTTACTATGCACTCGTCATTAAAATAGCACGTTACTTAATCTAGGTCCATTTAAATGTATTTTAAATATTTAATGCCATGACTGATGATTTAAATGTGCATTTCAGTGACATGTATACACCAGACGCACAGTCCAATCGATATGAAGATTAAATAAAATTGTCAACATGAATGTATTAGTAACTGTAAACAATTGTATGCTATATTAATAGCAGAAATTTCAAGACTTTGCATTCACTACGTATCTCCACATTTTTCTTATGTTATCCATCCATCTATTTACCCCCTTTTTCAACAGCCCATTAACAGTTTTAGCCAGATTCAATACATTCTTCCGCTCATATTTGTCATATATCTTCATCGTTCAATTCTTAAATTTTATTTATTTTATCCCCACCTCAGCAATGCATCTAGGTCAAGTTGTAGCCTACATTATGGTAGCAATGCAAAGCGTATTTTTTTTCTCGATCAGTATACAACCTCTACGGCGGTTTAATACTAAACTCAATTACAACCTCGAATGTATAAGGTTTACGGTTGGGTAATTTATATTTAACTCTCAGCTTCCGAGTGTCTTGATAACAACACCTTAGATACGCATCACCGCATCTGGTGTCGCACAAATCCTTCCCCTTTCTGATGTTTTTTCCCCCATGACCCCACCCCTACAACCCTCGTGCCCCCATGACCCCACCCCTACAACCCTCGTTTCCCATCTCTTTTCATACCATTTATTATATATCTATATGGTTTCTATTGCTCCTTTTTGTATCGGTTATATTTACATAACCTTCAAACAAACATTTTAATGATATTTTTTAACACTAATTTAATAGTATTTTATATATACTGCCCATTGGTCCACAGCTTACATGACCCCATGACCCCATCCGTCTATCTCCCCGCTTCCCCTAGACCCCACCTCTTTTCACATGAAGTCGAATATCCTAAAAGTCATGTTTAAAATGGTTTTGTTGACCTTTATTACCATGTACGAAACTATTCAAATTCTTTCATGAGAACACTGCTATCCAATTGTTGACCTTTAAAACTCCACCGTATCCCCAAACTATAGCTTCACGCCTACCCACCCAAAATATGTCGGTACTAAGCAGTCAAATAATCTTAGCTACGACTATGCACATCGACACTGAAGCACCACACGTTATCCCCTCCCACTCAATCACTAACACACCAACCTGTGAACCCCCCCCCCCCCCCACCCCAACGACCTCACCATGCCCCCACCCACCAGCACATCAGCTTTGATTTGTTTGTGTCTTTTTTTCTGTTACATCTAGTATTGTACAGCCATCCATGACGATAGTTTACAGACGACAATGACAAGATCAAGCAGTGCTTGTTATTACTTCCCCTTATTTTTACATAGTTTAAAACCTAAATTATCTGCCCCTAATAGCCGTAAATAATTCGACCATGAATATTTTTTTAAGTAGCCATTATTTACTTACCGAATCTGTCAAGTGAGAAATGACGTCGTTTCCGATCCAAAAGTCTCCAGATGTTGAACCAAATCCGTTTTTATAATCGTTCCAAGTTCTTGTAAAGTTCACATCACCTTTGATACGTCTCTGTAAGAAAAATGGCACCGCTACAATAAAGTCATAGCAAGTTGATATAATTGATTCCAACGATTATTTATGCTTCAAATTACGCACGAGATAACATTTTAATAGTTTTAAATAATCAAAACGCTTCTCTACGAAATAATAGCATAGATAAAACTACGGTTATGTGAGTTGATTTGATATATTCTAAGGCTTAATTATCTTTGAAATATATTAGGATTCTAGTTATATCATACAACAAACAATTTATAAAAAAATCAAAGCAGTCGTTACTTTATAAGACCTAATATTCTTCACATTAACTCTCTAAAATATTTCCAATATTTTGTGTATTAGACAGTTACAACTATCACGAGATAAACTTTGACGTTTGCTTCTGTTCAAACTCGAAACCAAATAAATCCCCAATTTTATACATACAACAGAAAGGATATTTTACAAATACATAGTCTTAAAAAATGCACTAAACACTATTGTAGTTTATTACATAATCTGATTTTGTCTATTTTATTTTAATATCCTAAATTTTATTCAGATCAACAAAATAAGCAAGACTAATAGATTCAGCTTTTCTACCCAAAACGATGAGATATATTAACAATTCTGTTGTGGACTGGTCACCTGACTTCGGGAAAACCAATAAGATTATTAATCTGCAGTTTACCAGAACTATAAAACAACTAGAGCTAATGTCTTTTGATGCCGATAAAACATTTTAGAGTCATCGTAATTTCAAATAGATAAAATATATTGTACAAACACTAAGTATGTAGTTCAACTATTACGCTTTTTTTAAATATGTTGCTAAGTGTCTATCATTGTGTATCATACATCTGTTTTCAATAGAATAAACTCATCAACACAGGTAGAAAATATATAGGAAAAATGGTGAATGGCTAAGAAAAAATGACAAATAAACCTGAATAATAATCCATCCTCCACCGTCAGTCTTGGTATCACACAATGTTCTTTTGACATCTACTCCAACCTTTGTCATGTCCGTTAAAACATGATCGTTCATGTTGGCACATTTTAACTGGAATCAAATTCATTTCTAATATTTTTATTTACTATTATTAGTTGAAACGGAATCAAATTTAAATATATACGTATATTCAGACAGCTAAATATTTCTCTTTTCTTTATAAATAATTATATTGTATTCACTACATCAACATCATCGCCACACACCACACAACTACGAAGAATATATACATACACATGTACATATGTATTCATATACTTATATATGTTTGTGAGTGTTTGTATATGTATAAATATATTCGCAGAACTATTGTTAGTATGTGTTAAAGCTATTTCACCAAGATAGCCAATTTAATATATCGTTTACTTTCTAAACATTGTCTAGACAAGGGACGAATTTCTGTAAATGTGCGCTCTAGTACAGCAGCAGCATAAGTAAAAAGGGGTGATGTTATTATTTTAAAGACATTCGACTAAATTAATCATACTTTTATAAATATGTATTGATTACGCAATTTTCTTTTCAAATAAATAATAAACCGTTAACATTTGTCAGAATATTATCTGAATATTAAAAATATTTTTTTAAAATTTTGTTTTTCTACTTTTGACGCAACGAAGAAAGGTATTAATGTTAGGCTATTTCGAAAACATACTATGCCTAAGTAAAACCTTTAACTTTTAACTTCTTGGGATCATTGCCATATGTTATGGCGGAACTGGAAAATTTAAATCGGGACATAGCAGATTTTGATGCTATATAAATTATTTTAACTTACGTATTCGCTATCGTTGAGCACACGGCCATTATCGATGTCTGTATTGTTTAGTAGTGATACAGCTGTTTTTAAATCCTTCAGTGTCTTTGACTGTGTCTCTGACAGGTTTTTGTAGCTTTCCCACAATTGTTGAATGCTTATATTTTGACGTTCCAATATCGCTGTGCTATTTTTAAAAAAAGTTTGAACATCGAGTGATACATTATCCACACTATTATTCAGTTTCTCCAGTTGTTTTTGTAAAACAATGTATAGATTTGTTACATTTTGTACCGACCTATTTTGTTTTTCAAGTGTGTTATTGTTTGCTTGTATCTGTTGAATTGTCTTTAGAAAGCTTTCAGTGAAGTTGTATTTAAAATGCGTGAGCTCTTGATTTGTGTTATTTAAAGTGTTCAATCTGTTATCAACGTTGTTCATTTGATTTTCAAGTCTCTGAATTGTAGACCCTTGGGCAGATAACACGCTATTTAATCTACTTTCCATCGCATTAGTAAGGTTAACCAGAGTTTCATCACCCTTCTCCTTTGTTAATTCTGTTTTATGATAACCAAAGTTAGAACGTTTGTGGTCTGTTAAAAACTGTAAATTCATCTTCAAGTCAGCTCTGTTCAACTTATCAGAATATTTAAATGTTTTTAGAAACTCTGACATTCTATCAATTGTTTTATCAAACTCTGGAGTTTTCGCCTCTAAGGTCATCAACATCAGTGGCTTAAAATTGTCTTGGTCAACAGGCTTAGTTTTATTTTCTTTCATCTCAGTGAGACCCCTTCTATTTGTGTAATACACATTACATCCAAACACTGTACTAAAACAATCGGAAGGTATTGTAAATGATACGATCAATTCTCCAAACACTTTTGAAAACGTTCCATCAACTTTTGATCCAGCTACTTTATAATCTCGAACTCTTGAATCGGATTCTGAAATACGCCAACACAATATTCCCGTCTAATTCACTGATCCTATAGACTGACATGTTGACAAGAGCTGAGATTTCATTATCTTCTCTTGTGTTCTCCAAACAATGTAACTTGCCACAAAATAAATCTTTACCCTCCATATAATATTCTTTTTGTAATGAAATGTCAAGTCCTGGAATGTAATGAAATATAGAACTGAAATTGGTCAAATTAAAATATTTAAGAAATGATTTTCTTTTAATACATTTACTGCATAACATCTATTGCAATTCCTTCATAGTAAAATGTCCGACAGAAGTATATCTAGTAATTGCAAGAAAAATTAACTTCACAAAAATGGTATCGTATACAATTAGTTGTAGCATTATAATCCGTGGTAAATTATTATGGAATAATAAAATAAAACACTGAAATCGGAGAAATACAATTATTTATGAAATGAATTTCTTTTACACTTCACGCATAACAAATTCCGAATAGTTACATCTATTCAATTTTTGCGTAAAAAATTATTTTGAAAGAAATCTATGTATTAATTGCAACACAAATTAAAGTTACAAACGTGAAAATGGTAATTTATACAGTAAGTTTTATTATTGTAATCTTGGTAAATTATTATTAAATATTTATTAGTTGATTTAAACTACTTGGACAAAGTCTGTAACTGAAAACACGTAGGACTATTTATCCACGTGTGTGTAATCACACTACTTCTCAAATTACATAGAACAGAACTTAATACATAACTACGTATAAACGTTGGCTAGTAGTATACAAAAAAATCAATTTAAAAAAAATAATTGTGTGTTATAATTTTTAAATGAAATATCTCAAACGTGAAACAAACGGCAGGCCTCAAAAGTCTTAAATATATCACTTTTTTCTGTTTAATAGAAATTGAATTAAAATTGAAATACTTTGTAATAAGCTAGTACATAATTGACGTCGGCAATGGTAACGGCGTAATTTGAAAAAAAAAGGGTAAGATTGCAGCTCCAATAGTTCCGATTTCGGTGACTGGTCAAATGATGAACATTAGCTAGAAACCGCAACGCATCGTAGGGAAAATAAACATCTACAAAACCCATCAACTGCTACCTTACAAATTTCTATTGGATGGACAAATTCTAGCGAATCGTATCCAGGAAGAGAAGCTTGATGATTTTCGGGTAAACAAATAAAATGACCCAGAACATAAAACAGACAATAATGAAGTGTGTTGCGGGCAATTATGTCGCAAAGTACATTAAAAGTACAAATAAATGAATAAACCATATGACCCAAAACATATAATAATGACGTGTGTTTGAGGCAATGACGTCGAAAAGTACAATTAAAAACAATCGGAAGATATTGATTGATCGAAAAAGATTACAAAACATCTTTTTTTGAAAGAACAGTTAGGTTTGTTAGTCATATATTAAAAAAACCTTCTTGCTTAAAGCAACTATTTTTTTTTTTTAAATCAGAATATTTAGACCGATTATACATTTTAGTTTTTGGGCGAGATTGAATTCAGGTGACTAAAAATTTTGAGATTGGTTCCATGAGGTTGTAATCTAACTCAAGCTATGGAACAGTAATGAAGACTTAGTTAATCATTTTGTCCATGCTTTAAAAACTAAAACAATTGTTACCTAAAAATATACAAATTATCAAATGCATCATTCGCCATCTAATTTGTGATGCAGATATAATACAAATGTACTCACCGCATGTGAACATTATATTTACAACCAACAGAGCCGTCACTAAAACAGCAGACATTGTAGAGTTGTGTAGTTCTGTATCACACGAACTGGAGACTTCTCTAAACCGCTGCTTCTGTTTACTTGTGAGTATATTGCCGTCTATTTATAGCACAAAATTGTTACAGATGTCAAAGATGTGTTGATAAGACACTTAGGCGTTTTCTTCCTTAGAAATTATGCCATAAACAATTACACTGCTATAAAGTTTCACGTTGCGGATCTCAAATAATATTTTATAACTACATATGTAGCGCCGACCTCATATTTTTTCAATGAATTATAAGTCATTCATTTTGGTTTTTATAAACGATTTTATTTTATGTTTACAAATATAAAGTAGGTGTTTTATAAGGCACAAATTAATACTTTTAACTTACTCCTTTGTTTTTTAATTTAACTTTTCATATAAATTGAAGAGCTTCTTGTTTGTCTATTTTATAATAGTTTTAAGAAGCCACCTCTTAAAAATAGTAGTAGTTAATTAGTTACAAGAGCAAATCAAACAAAACGTTGAATTTGATTTTCACAAGTACATATATAAATATATTTAGTGGTTAGATATT